GCGTGTTCAAGTAGTAAATATAAGCGACAATAATTATGAATGAAATGTTGCGCCACAAGAATCTATTGACCTCCGCAGGATTTCATCCATCGTCAAAATCTTCTACGTAACGGACCTTCCTGATTCAATTGATATCAGAGAATATATTCACGGGGATTGTTTGTCCAAACAATCGCAGGTTGACTCGAGCCTTCTAGTGGCGTGTTATCGGTTGCGACGCGATCTCAACAGTCCAGAATCGCATACACGTGCCGAATGAAGCAGGATTCCACGGCAATCTCCACGATTTGCCTGGAAAGCTCATTGATTACTGTAATGGAGTGGTCACCGTCTATCCAGAAAGTGCGACAGTAGAGGCCGACCTCTCCAGTGTATTATGTCACAAGAACAACTATCGATATTGTTTGTCTAACCTAAATAATTGTTTATTATGTTGAAAATAGCGAACCTTTTCAAGCAAAAAGTGTTTCTTCAGCAAAGGAACATATCTGTTATTGCGCACCCGCAGTTTCGTACGATTGTGACGCGTCGTGCAACTTTTACTTCCAGCATCGGTCTGCAAGGTGATTACCGATGCGCTCAATATCTATTCGGCAAAGAAATATCATACACAGCATATCTGCAGATATAAATCAGTTAAGCGATGTTGCCGTGAATATGTTAAATGCCGTACACATGGGGAAGAAGAGAATGATCAGGAGCAATATCACAACAAACACGATGCGTATCTTCTGTCATCTGCCTGAGCGATCGCATTCCATCATTTATTCATACACCCCGTGCTGAATATGACAATATTCCGCATCTATTTTTCGTCCCCTGTGTGCACTCCGGCTTCAACACGCTGTGGAAAATGATTGAAGAGGAGCTGCTCGCGGAAATCCACGAGCTGTGCCAGCCGAGGCACACCGGCCATTCTATACTTTCGAGCCTGTCTCCCCACGCCTTCCGGTCCAAGCCGGAGCCATGGCGGACGCCTCGAGACGGAACCCACACGAGGCCAGGGGCACTCCGGGGGAAACGCACCCTCAGACCGAGCAGTGTGTTGGCCACGGCAGAGAGTCGTACCAGTGTCCGGAGGGTCTTGGCTTTCATGCTTTTCGTGTGGTAGCCAAATCCACGGTGCTTGTTGAACGTGACACCCGAGAGTTTTGGGGTGTCGTCACTTTCCAGTTCGGTACCGCGATAGCGAAGCACCGGCGCACTACGACGGCTGCGAAAATGGCATGCTTTCGTTTTGCTCACATTCACGTCCATAAAATGGGTGCGTGACCAGTGGATAAGCATGTCCAGAGACTCGTTGAGGACTGAATCCCTACCGCGTCCGTGAGCCACGATCGTCAAGTCATCAGCATAGAAATAATGCTTTGCTTGCGAAAGGTTGAGCTCCTCGGACAGCCCCTCCATAAAAATATTAAAAAAGAGAGGCCCTAGGACCGTGCCTTGTGGGACACCGCACGTGAACGTTTCTGTACGTGAGTAGTGTCTGCTCCCCAAGCGGACGCGCACTTTGCGCCCGGTGAGGAAGCTCAGGATCCAACGAACGAGGTAGGGGTCCACATTGTGCCTTTGCAAGCGTTGTAAGAGCAGATGGTGGTCCACCAAGTCGAAGGCCCTGCTGAAGTCCACAAAGACAGCGGACGTCTGCGGTGTTTTACTGGCGCTCGTGGGCTGCACTTGTGTGCGCAGCCACAGCAGGACGTTCGTGGTGCTCATCCCCGCACGGAAACCAGCCTGGTGTACGGATGTGGCATGGTGCTTGAGGCGGCCATGGAGGATCCGCTCCATGAGCTTTGCGATGGCGCTGGTCAGAGTAACAGGACGATATGAGTCCACTCTGCCAGCAGGCTTTCCTGGCTTCAGAAAGGGGACGATCGTGCCGCTCTTCCATGCGCGCGGGACAATTCCACGCGACAAGGACCTGTTAAACGTACGAAGGAGGGCCGTCCGGGCTAACTTCGGTAGCTGCAGGAGGGCCTCATTGTACACGTCGTCCGGGCCGCATGCTCGGTGACACTTCGTATATCGAAGAGCATCGTGCAGCTCTTGTTCTGTGATGGCGCGGAGAAGGCTGGCTGGGCGGGGTGGCTTCCCTGCAACCTGGGCGGCTGGGTGCCTGCGGGCCTTTTTCTTGAAGAACCGGACAAGGTGGCTGGCGGCTGTTTTCAAGGGGACCTCACGGCCACCCTCAACGACAAGGTTCGTGGGCGTCGGCCTTGCGGAAATGACGTTTTGGAGCGTCTTCCAGGTTGTGGAGTGTGTGGGCTTCATGTCAGCACACACCTCGCCCCATCCCTCTCGACAGTGTGTATCCAAGAGTTTTTTACGCTCCTGGGTGGCGGCGAGAATCTGTTGCCATTGAGATGGAGTTGCTCCGTCAATGCGATTAAGCAGTGTTTCACATTTGCGTGTGGCATCTTCGAGCGCCGCTGACCAGCTGCTTGTGGTGGGTGGAACCCCTTTGGGGACTGCATTTGCAGTCGCTTTGGCGATGCTCCGTGACAGGAACTTCGCCTGTTGATCCGGGGTCCCCTTTCTAGGAAATGTTTGGCAGTCCGCGGTGACAAGTCCGCGGAACTCTTGCCAGTCCGCTTTGCCCCATGAATAATGGGCGCGCTTGGGCACCTGGGTCCCCAATGGAGCTTCGTCGCCGACCACCAGATCAAAGCTGATAAGGAAGTGGTCGCTGTCTGGGTCGGGTTTGGCCTTCCAGCCGCGTGCGATACAGCCGCGCGCGAGAGTGACGTCCGGGGACGAGAGTTTGCCTTTCTGTATCGTCAAGTCCCGACGTGTCGGACTACCATTATTGACGAGATCATACGCTTGGGCGACGGAGAAATCGAGGATGTGTCTCCCGCCGGCGTTGGCATTGGTATATGAGTCCCACATTGAGTGATGAGCGTTGGAGTCAGCCCCAATGATATGGGCTCTCCAGGAATCGTTCGATAGCTCGAGAATAGATGCGGGAGTGACCCTGTTAGCCCGGGGGAAGTATGCCGATGTGAAGTAGGCAATCTCATTCCCTGCTTTAACGCAGACGGTGATGTGTTCGACCGCTGCGGAGACCGAGTGGGCGCGCAAGACGCTGGATAGTGCGTCTCGCACGAGAACTGCCACGCCCCCACCTTTCGCATCGCGGGCAACCGAGTAGCAATGGAAGCCGGGCAACGCTAGCCGCGAAGCTTCGTCTTCCGTGATGCGCAACTCCTGTAGGAGAATAACATCGAGGTTAAGAATGTTTGCCTTGTGTAGAAGGCTGACTTTTTTCCCAGGTGTGAAGCCTAAGATGTTTTGCTGGGCTATACGGAGGATCGGCCCCGGATTCGGGTGCACGTCCCCAGCTCGTAGTAAAAGAGAAAGAGAATGAAATTTTCTTACGGCACGCATGTGCGCGCTCCGAGGCGGCCAAAGATAAACTTTGGTGGCCACTGACGCCAATGGTCCTCGGCAGGTGGTAGACAGTTGAAGCTCCTGTCGCCACCCGGTACTGCCAGGGAGGATCCCAGCAGCACCGGGCGGCCCCTGGCTTCCCCCAAGACGGGGTACTGGTCCGACCCACCACGTAGAGGTGACCATCCATCGGGTCGGCAATGAGCTTTTTTCCTTCCAATTCGGCAGGAGACCATTCAGAAGCGTTGCCAACCGCTTGTGCATCACTTCCCTCATGTGGTTTTCTCGGATGGGAATAGCAAACAAATGGTAATCGACGACCTTACCATCGCTCTCGACATCTGGTCAATGCGTGGCCATATCGAATGCCAGAGAGAAGGCCCATCGGCGTTGGGGTATTTGGGCGGTAGCGTTTAACATATCGCAGTGGTCTGTCGAACACTTCGGGAGATAAACACTTCAATACAACCTTCACTGCAGTGTCAACTGTACATGCACGGAAAGACAATCCGCTTCCTACAAGCTGCAAGATCATTTCGAATATGAAATGTCTTGGCACTTGGGTGGTATAGCCGTCGCCAGACTCCAAAGAGATCGCAGGTAGGATTGTCATCATCTACAATCGAAAGCATCATGATGACATCCACAATTTCCCTGACACTGCAGAGGGCGCTCACTTGAAAAATGAAAGTCCAATGTCCTGAAGGACGGAACTGCATGCTCGAAAAGCGTTGCCTTTTTTATCCATTCGGCTCTTCCTTCTGTTATGATGATACACCAAATCAATACTTAGAAAAACACACGTTGAAAACCCATGCACCACACTGAAACCTCTTTTTTCCATTTGCTTCATTGCATCCAGTCGTTCTTTTTCTTTCTTGGGCAACAACAAAAACGGGCCTGACCCAATGGAAGGCCACCTCTACATGGTTGGCCGGATTAGTACCCCGTCTGGGAGAAAGCCTGGACGCACCACGACGAGGGTGCACTCATCCTGTCAACCAACGATTCATGGCCCATACGGTACCACGGCTGTGGAAGAGTCGCCGATGATCTCACCGCATGGCCCCGAGGGAAACGTATAACCCCTGTGGCGGCGCTGTCTCCACATTGTGATGATCAAATATCATATTCAGGCTTGTGGTGGAATCGTCATTTTCTGTATATTCTTTTCTGTACCCATCGAGATGCTTGGAACCCAGGAGGCAAGGGTGGGGGTCCCGCTTTGCCGTGTGCGCTTCAGACCCGGACGCGGTCTGATCCTTCGAATAGTCACTGAATGCGCGGCGGAAATGATTCTTCTAGAAAATGACATTTATGACAGAAAGTATCCCGGTGATGGGTTTGGGATTCAAGCGTGAAATACGTCACATAATGAGATGACAAAGGGCGGCAAATACGTATTCGATATTTCATCAAAGCCAACCTGTGAAAAGCAAAAATTGTGTATTCAACATTCCGAAGAGACTGGAAATATCTAGTTTCGTTGTCTTTTCGTTGCTTTCTCGGTGAAAGTATGTACCCCGTTGGGCCTCCATGCTGACGTTTGTGATTCTCTTCTTGAAAGGCACTCAAGAAAAATCGAACTTTCCTCCCATGAAGCGCGCTGACTACTTAGGTATGTGGGTTGTTACTCGTTTCAAAAGGTGTTCAAAAATTCTCTCCCATATGCGACAGGCGATGCGTCGAGAAGACTGCAAGCATGCGACCCGAAGATTGCCACGCTGTCTATGTTTGCGGAAATTTGACTTTGAGATGGTCATCGGTGAAATAATGAACAAGGAGGAGATACCTCCTGTTTGACCAGTTTGATTTATACACCTCGCCCAGCCAGGCTGTTGAGCACACTCCGCGGATGTGGAGGTGGTCTCGCATGCTGCATGGCTTTTGAGGGCCATCAGGAGAGACTGACTGTCTGTGGCAACGAGGAGGCGTTTGCCACGGTGGAGGAGCTTGTCAGCGATGACGCGACGTAAGCCGGCATGTAGAGCCAGGCATTCTGAGCGAAAGCTCGAGCACCAATTTCCACCGACAGAGACTGTTTGGTAATTCGCTCTGCCCTTCTTGAATATGAGGGCTGCCCCGACGACCGAAGATGTTTCTTCGGCGTAGGACCCGTCGGTCCAGATTTCGTAGTCAGCTGGATGGCGGTGAGAGACTGCTTCGCCTGAAACCTTTTTCTTCACGGCATCATCCATTTCTTTGGTGACTGCCTCAAGGGTCCAGGGACGGATAATTATCCGATGGTTGAGCGTTGGAGCATCCGCGAGCGGCTCCACTGACCCGTATGCTGCAGTTATCTCCGTGTGGAGCTTGCCGATCTCACTGGACGGCGGAGAGCAGCGGGAGACGTTTGCGGCTCGAGGGCCGCCACGAAGGGAAGACAACAGGAAGTAAGATACTTAGCCTTTTCAGATACTGGCGGCAGGTTGGCTTCAAGCAGCGAGTCGTATGAGTTTGTTGTTGCGGGCAGTCCACATGCGAGGCGGGCGCCGCGGGCTTGCACAGTGTCCATGGTGGCCAGGTCCGTGTCCGACGCTATGCCAAACCATGCCGGGCAAGCGTACTGCATGGACAACGAAACGAGTGCTAGGTGAAGGACCGGATCGCGTCGCGCGACGCCCCAAGCAGTGTGTTAGAGACCGCCGAGAGCTTGATGAGCGTCTTCAGACTCTTGTTTTTCATGCTTTTCGTGTGGTGACCGAAGCCGCGATGCTTGCTGAAAGTAACCCCCAAGAGTTGGGGGGAGGGGGGGGGGGGNGGGGGGGGGGGGGGGGGGGGGGGTCCAACATTTTCGAGTTCCATGCCTCGGTAACGAAGCATGGGGGCATCACGGCGGCTGTGGAAGTGCACGCTTTTGTTTTGCTCACATTCACGTCCATAAAATGGGTGCGTGACCAGTGGCAGAAATCGACGACATATGTCCCGCCGGGATTCGGAGCCACGTATCTGTCCCAATCTTCGTGATGACAGTTAGTGTCAGCCCCAATTATATGGGTTCTCCTGTCATCCTGTGACAATCTGCTGAGTGCCGCTGCACTAACTTTGTGTCCACGGGGGAAGTACGCCGAGGTGAAGTAGGAGAGTTCGTCTCCCACTTTCACACAGACGGTGGTGTGTTCTACCACTTCGGAGACCGACTGGGAGGTCAGAGAGCATTGTAGAGCATCTCTGACGAGGACGGCTACGCCTCCTCCCTTCGCATCACGGGCTACCGCGAAGCAATGAAAGCCGGGTATCGCTAGCCTGGAAGCTTCGTCTTCCGTCACGTGTAATTCCTGCAAGAGGACCACGTCAAGAGCAAGCATTTTGGCCTTGTGTAAAAGGCTAATCTTTTTTCCCAGGTGTGAGGCCTAAGATGTTTTGCTGGGCTATACGGAGGCTCGGCCCCGGATTCGGGTGCACGTCCCCAGCCCGCAAAAGCAGAGCAATCAGATTGATAGCTCTCACGGCACGCATGCGCGTGCTCCGTGTTTGCAGTTTTTGTTTCATCGCGGCCACTGACGCCGGTATTCCACAGCAGTGGTGGATGACGCAAGCTCTCGCCGATACCCGATGCCACCCGGGCGGAGCCCAGTAGTATCGGTCGGCCCCTGGCTTCCCCAACGACTGGGTACTGGTCCGACCCACCACGTAGAGGTGGCCATCCATCGGGTCGGCAGCGTTTAAGTTACCACGTAGGAGAGACAACAGGAAGGAAGCAAGTCAAAAACGTTGTCTTTTCTGACAGTCAGGGAAGGTTTGGCTCGGGCAACGAATCGTATGTATTCGTCCTTGCGGACCGACCACATAGAACCGGTAAGGTATCGAGGTTATGGAGCTCTCACAGCTACGTGGTTGCACTCAATCGATCCGGCAGATCAGCGGGATTTCTCTGGGGGCTATTTTAGGTATTCTGTCCACACATCTGGGTGTTCCCATGTGGCGAACTATCACCTGAGTACCATTCCTGTATGGGGAGTCCATGATATGATGGTCAATCACTCTGTCCCGTTCATGAATACTCTCCTACCAGATTCGAAGACGAAGCTCATTGGCTGCTGCACTGATGGTGCACCGTTGATGACAGCTAATGAGAAGGCATTACGACACGGCTGGGCGGGGCTGCGTCCAGCGGTGCTTTTGAATTTGGTGTGGTTTACGCCAACTGGATCTAGTCGTGAAGCGAGGTATCACAAATTTGATGTATGGGGTCAACGAAGAGGCATCCTTCCATCGGGTCGGCAGTAATTTTTTTGTTTGTTTGAAAGTGCAGTTTGACATTGAACAACAATTTTCTGTTTTTATGTCTATTCATATGGGTTAATATCATCCCGCGTATTATACCACAGAGAATAGTAGAAGCTCTCTCGTCTCGTCACCAGGAAGATCCAGGACCCTCCATGGCAACAAACGGCGGCTTCTTGAACCTCCTCACATTAGGGTACTGGTCCAACCCACCACGAAGAGGCGTCCTTCCATCGGATCGGCAGTTTAATTGTTGAAGCACAGACATAATTCCCGCAACAACATAGGGAGACGTGTGAGGTCAACGCTCTCAGTCAGATGATTCAAGCTCAAGCAGAACACTTGCATTTCGCAGGAATATCTACTACATTAACCGTTCCAGTCAATCTAATTCGTATCCCATTGGACGATCAAGGGAAGGTAGCGCAAGTCGACTGTGCCATTCATTTCCGGGCAAGCATTTAGCTTGTGGCCTTTTCCCGTCCACGCAAATGAGCCGCAGTGATTTACCGCTATACAAGTGCACCCATCCGAGAGAATTGAGAATCGTCATGTTGCTGACAAAAGCTTGCATTATCGTGTTGCTGTCCACATTTGGAATGGTGGAATATCATTTGCCTATGAGAGAAATATAACTTGGGCATTCTCGACTGATTCAAAAACTGAACTTGGAATGGCATCAGCGGTCAAATTTGCCGATCACGTCGTCTGAACAGGTGACGAAGAACGCACCCTGGGCAGTGGAAGACATTTTTAAAAAAGAGGTGAATAAGTGCATTTCAAGCAATAAATCCGAATACACCGAAAAGAAAGTCAATACTGCATAAATACTCACTTGCTTAAGTTAATCTTGTCACAATCGTTTGATATTTTTCCACGCTGGGTAATAAGGAGGTATATTGTTATGGAAAAAAAGAAAAGCCTTATCGCGGCTGCTTGTCGCTTGGTATCGAGTGCACTCGAGAGTTGCAGTCTCCGAATGAAAATACAATGGCCCAATGAACACGAGGCATTTGTTTCAACAACAGGAAAGAATGTATACTAAAAATGAGAAAACATCCTCTGCCTGAAAAATGAACGTACATTTCAAACCAATCACACCGAGAGATGAGCCCTCATCGACTCTTAAAATGATTCGATCGCTGCGACGGATCAAAATACGGTCGAGGCGTGCCAATCTTGACAGGATACGAAGCATTCGCGGGAATTGGCGTTCCATCGAAAGTCTTATTCCAGATTCCGTCCTCTGGGATGCAGAAAAAGCAGTTCATACCGGCAGTCGTGCTGAACGGCGCGTAGGAATACTTTATCGGAGACTCACCGATAGGACCATCGATGGTCATGAGAAACGCGGCGAGGGCCCAGCGATCGCCTTGCTCGAACATGCGCACAAGCAGCAGTGGACGGCCGCTCGGGAAGATTTGTCTATTCGCCTCCATGAAAGAGAGGGCGATCCGCTCATCCGACTGCGGAACCTTGTGGTAGTTGTCCGCCGCGGTCAGTAGTAAACCGACTGGCTGGAGGGCGCCAAGCACAGTGTGGGAAGGAAGCCGCAGGGGGAAGCGGACGTCCGATGCGGACGCTGCTTGCGGTGGAAACACCGCGCACCGAATGGTGAGCCTGTGCCGCTCATGCGCACGGGCGTAGAGGAGCGCGACGGTTCTTGTTGGAAGATTCGCCGCTTGCACAAACTGGCGGCACAGATTATCGGGCATTGAAAACGAGTTTTCCCCGTCGCGGGGCACCTCAGCGTGAACACGTGGGAGGGGGAGGCCCGCCCGGATATGCGCTGTCGCAAAGTCCTCTCTCCAGGGTCGGACCTTGGTGTCGGGCAGCGGTGGCTCCGCAGGTTGATTGATTGCACCTTCCCCGGAAAGCGCCTCGCTGTACTTCTCCAAGCTCTGCTGCGCGCTCTGGATGGACTCCGCCCGCTGCTGGACGGCCTCGACATTGCCGATTTCCTGCCCGAAAAGGACGTCCCGAACCTCCGTTGGCGTGATGCGACTCACGTCCACGCCGTTTCGCTTGCAGTAGTCGGCGATAATGAGGTCTTTGAGGCGCGTCTCGGTGTCGAGCCATGCCTCTGGCGCGAGCGACGGCCACAGGTGCTGGCTCGCAATGAGCTCTTCGTTGTCGAGCTGGAGTATTTTCTTCGCCCGCGCCTCGTTGATATTCATGGCCCGCAGGATGATAATCAGCCGGAAGAAGGCAGTGACGTGACTCGTCTGCTCGAGCCAGTCGTCGTAGAGGTGGACCAGGTGGGTCTCGGAGGCGGTGGCCTTCTGCATGAGCTGGTACAGCCGAGGGACCTTCGCGAGCGACCGCAGCGGGATGAGCAAGTTGGACCCCTTGATGACCGTGTTGGTGAGGCCCGACAGCGCGGCGTTGACGGGCTCAAGGACCTGGCGCTGCATCGTCACAATGAGCTTCGGGTGGTCCTCTTTAGGCAGCGAGCGAATCAACACGGCGCAACTCTCGGCGACTTTGGTCTTCACAAGGCTGCTCAGCCGCTTTTGTCCCTTCCAGGTGTCCGCGTGGACAATCAGCAAGTAAAGCTTCCCCGTCGAGGGAGAGATGACGAAGACCGCACCGTTGAGCGGCTTCGTCGTGTTGAAACCGGCCACTGTGCGCTGCGCGGTGGAGAGCTTGATGCACGAGCCCTCGAGGAGCCACACGGTCTTCCGCGAGAAGAGGTCGTCAAAGTTCTGTGCGCTGAGGGGCGGCTCGGCGCGCTCGACCGGCGCCAGTTGGAGCTTTGAGTTGAGCGTGCTCCGGAAGCGGTAAAGCTCAGTGTTGTTCTGCTTGACCTTCAAGAGCGCTCGCCTGAGGAAATCCTTCAGACCGGGGAACCAAAACCCAAACGCCGCGCTCGAGTTGTAGGCAAGGTCGAAGGCGATGACGACGCCGGTCGGCGAGGGGTATTTGGACTCGCCGCGGTCGGTGGTGTACGAGAGGAAGAGCGAGCGCACGT